GGTCCAGGGAACAATTCAAAATCCTACACTGCAATTAAGTTGTCACATCTCCTTAGTCTTTTCCAGTTTGAGACAGTCATAATTTAGAATTTGTCTTTCACAATTTTGACACCTTTGAAGGCTCTATTCAGTTATTTTGTGGAATGTAGAATGTTGTTCAGTATCAGTCTGTGTGATGTATTCTATGATTGATTGAGACTGTGCATTTCAGCAAGATAATTGTCAAAATGCTGTTGTCCATTTTTCAGGGCATCATGGTAAGAGGAATGTGAAATCAGTAACTCACATTGCTAGTGATGTTCATTTTGGTTAAAGTGCTATCAAGCCAGGTCTCTCCACTGCCATGCTATTATTTTGCCTTGTTTTTGTTGTTAAGTGCCACTGAGTTGGTCCTGACTCAGAGCGATCCTGTGTAACAAGGTTTCCAAGGCTATAAATCTTTACAGAGGCAGAAGTCCTCATCTTTCTCCCATGGAGCATCTGGTGGGCTTGAACCACTGACCTTGTAGTTTACCATCCAGTGAATATCCTACAGAGCCACCATGCTCCCATTTTTGCCTTCGTAGTTAATAAGCATCTTATGTGGAGATATTTTGAATAGATATAAATAAACTGTTTTGCATCATACTTTTCACCCACAAATTTTAGCATCCATTAATGATTCTTGTTTGCAGTAATTATTACTAGGTGTTTGCCAAATAGGGGTTTTCTGTTTCTGTCATTCTTTAATAGTAGAGGTTCTTACCTCGGGGGCCCCAGTGTAAACAAGTGCCTGTGCACATCCTAGTCTTGAGAAGAGGTGCTGAACTGATCCGGTTTTCAGGGAGTCCGTTCTGCTCTTTTCCCATCCATTACTACTTTCTCTACTTTTTGGTCACTGCACATCCGTTCGAGTAGATCAAAGGAATCTTTTGTGTATCTGGCTTCTGTGTCTGGTCTTTCCTTTGAGCTGATTCTGAATGCTTCTGGGAAGATTCAGTGTGAAATAGATAAAAGTGTACCAGGAATAATAAAAGCAGACCTGCAGGGTTTTCCTATGTTGTCAAGATAACGTCTTCCTCAGTCCACAGTTGAGAAACCACTAAATTTTGTATCTACATGTTGTTGTTTTAAGTGCCATTAAGTTGGTTCTGACCCATAGCAACTCTGTATAAGGTTTCTGAGGAGTGGCTGGTGTGTTTGAACCATCAACTTTGTGGTTAGCAGTGCAGTGCTTACCCTGCAGTACCACACCAGTACTATGTCTGCACAGCCCTAGTTTTATTTCAGAGAGCATGTATTTTCATCTCTAAGAAGTATTTAAGGGGTCTTCGTGGTGCTTAGGTTAGGCTTTGGGATACTAACCACAAAGTCGGCAGTTTAAATCCACCAGCGGCTCTATGGGAGAAAGATGAGACTGCTCTCGTAAAGATTTATAGTCTTTGTAACCTATATAGATCTGGTAGCAAAGGAGCTCTGGTAGCGTAGTGGTTATGAATCGAACTGTGAACCTCAAGGTCAGCAGTTTGAAACTACCAGCTGTTTTGCGGGAGAAGGATGAGGCTTTCTGCTCCCGTAAAGATTTACAGCCTTAGAAACCCTGTACAGGGTCGCTATGAGTCGGAACTGACTCCACGGCACATAACAACAACAACCTATATAGGGTTGCTATGAGTTGAAACTGGCTCAGTAGTAGAGGGTTTAGTTTGGTTTGTTTGGACCACTGCTAAGTGCTTGGATGCTCACAGAAAGGTTGCTGGTTTGAACCTACTTAGTGATTCTGGGGAAAAAAACGGGTGATATGCTGCTGTAAAGAGCTGTGAGGCAATTCTGTTGTCATACAGCATTGCTCTGAGCCGGGATTGATTGATTTGATGACATCTAACAACAACAGTGACAACATGCTGAGTATTTAAAAGTCAAATATGAGGAGGCTTCAACAAAAAGTTCGTTGCATTCTTCCACGAGCCTCTTGAAGTCCTCTTGTACAGTATTTAGTTTGTCTTGTAAAAAAGATAGATAAAAGAAATTTAGTTCCTTTTCAGTATGATAACTTACTTTCTTTTTTTTCCCTTTCAACTATAATTTCTTGGAGTAAATAGACTCTTGAGAAAGAAAGCTCAACTGAGCCTTTAGCTGAGACATGAGTTTTTATAGGAAGTAGTTTCTGTTTTGAATTTTGAGTGGTTTCTGAGACAGAAACCATTTCTATGGCTTTGTCCTTGGCACGGTTAGCACAGATGAGATGAGAGTCTAATTATCTTGTTCTTCAGGAGCTCCTGAGTCACTTTTATCTATTCACTTAAAAATTTTACTTTACGAAAGTTTCTATAGTAGGATTGGTGTTTGTTAGAAGAGAATAAAAAATATGGATTAATGGTGAATTTGAAGGATTGTTCATGAATTAATCTTATTTTTTAAATGGAATGATCATCTTGTATGTAATGTCATTTTAAAAAAGTGTATCTTTTTATGATAGTGCATGTGGTTGTTAGTTCTGATTCATAGTGATCCTGTAGAGGATTTCCGTGGAGTGGCTGGTGGACTTGAACTGTGGACCTCGCAGTTAGCAGTCTAGTACTTATCCTAGTGCCGTACCAGGACTCCATGATATTACCTGGACACCTATAATGAACTTAGCTCCATAATACAGCACAAGATTCATTAGTTTATTAAAAGGAGACAATATGCAAGTGTGGTGTCCTGGTGTGGTGCTGTGGACTGCAAATGCATTGGACTGCAAAGTTAGTTTAAACTGCAGGGTCGGCGGTTCAAACTCACCAGCCATTCCTGGAAACCCTATACAGGGTCACTGTGGGTCGGAACCAAGTAGATGGCACTTATAACAACAACAACAACATGCAAGCCTGACTCTGCAGTGTCTTTTTTTTTTCCATTCTTGGAAAATCAATGCTTTGCTATTCCAGAAATTTCTTTGGATATTAGATTTATGGTATTATACCTCAAAAATATGCAAATAGTCATTTCCTTCTTCAGATGTTCAGATCTTTTGTTGTGTTAATTACTGTAGGAAAAATTAAATTTTAAGCAATTTAAACAAAGTATAAACAAAGACGCAGAGATTTTCTGACATAGCAGTGATTGTCCTGCTTTGGGAGAATCACCTACTAGTTCATTGTTGCACAGACCCCACTTGGAGGCAACTACAGTGGCTGTCCATGAGCTAGTTAGGTGTCATATCGTGACGGGTTGGTGTGCCAAATTAAAGACCTTGGATCTAATAATCTAGGCCACAGATGGGCTTGAAAGACAAACGACATGCTCAGACTGGATATTGGATGGTACTTGAAGGGTAAAAAAGGAAGTTTACAAGTTCAAATTTATTTATTTATTTATTTTTACCCACTACTACTGAGTCAACTCAGACTCACAATGACCCTATCAAAGGTTTCCAAGACTATAAATCTTTACAGTAACTGACAGCCTCATCTTTCTCCCTAGGAGTAGCTAGTGGGTTTGCCCTGCTAACCTCGCACTTAGCAAAGCAATGCCTAATGCACAGTGCCATCAATTTAAGTCTCTAGGAGATAACGAGTGATCAGGAAGGCCTAAATTAGAGGGACTGGTAGCAAAGGATGAGTTCCAAAAGCATTAAGTAGATTATACATCAGAAGGTGAGATAGGAAATCAAGGGTCCAAACATAGATGAAAATTAGCAAGTATAAGAGGAAGACTAGGTTTGGGGGGAAGTCCGATGTGCACATTAATGTATGGGGCAGAGGAGGGGAACCTTTTAACACTGAAGTCCATATGCACTCTGGTTGGAGACACCCATTTGATGGGAATGTATGATTCCGAAGCTTGGCAGGGGGCTTGAGAATGGGGAGTCAATAGTATGAAGGTGGGCGCTTCGTGATTGGGTAAGGTTACTTGTAGGTGAGGACTTAATTCTGGTTGTTACCAAATATAAGGGACAGACAGAAGAGGAGAGATGTTTTCTAAGAGACTACAGTGCCATGGAGACTACAACGACAAGAAGGAGAATTTTTAAGGAGGGAGTAGTAACACAAACTTAGCAGTGTTCGTTCTATGCCTGCTGTAGAATGCAGCAGGAAAAAGTCATTGAGGTTTTATTTTAGAACAGATTTTCAGGGATTTTGACTGAAGTAGTTTTTTGTCATTTTGTTCAGGACCTGGCAGTTCAAGATAAATGCTTTTTTTCCACATCTTTAGCAATCTTTGTGTGTGTGTGTGTTCGTTTTCTGTCTCTGACCTCAGGGGCCTTTGTATCTCTTACCTTTGTATTATAGTGCTTTCTTAAGTTGCTTACATTTAAAGCATACTTTATTTCCAATTTTTCTCCACTGATGATTTTTCTTGAGCTTTATTTGGAAGACTTATATGGTTATATTCAGTGTGCTCTAGACCAGTGTGAAACCTGAAAATTCTTTTGTTTTATAAGTATATAATGTTGACAGCTTCAAACATCGTACTAAACCTGGTTCATTTTGATGATTCTTGTTTATGAACCAACCATTCAGTCTTCAAGAACTTCTATCTCACTTACTTGATGCTCACACCAAGTGTGTAGGGTAGATTATCTATAGATTATCTTCCAATTTCTTTTCTATTTAAGTGATCGGTTTTTCTTGTTTAATTATGCCACCCATTCAAAGATAGCTGTTCGTTTTCTAACTCATTGACTATGTGTGACACTTAAAAGTTCATGGAAAAACTCCATTACCTTTTAATTTCATTTTTCCGTGAAATTTTGAAGTCCCCTTATCTAATCTAAAATGTTACAACTGAGAGGAACCTTAGAGACCATCTCTTCCAATCTCTTCCTTTGCAAATAAGGAACAGTCCAGGCTCAAATAGGTAAAAATCCCCTGCTCAGATTGTATAGGCAAATAAAGCAAAATTAAGATCTAACACCTAGCTTTCCTGATTCCTTGTCCCTCTAGTAATAACTGTAATATTAATTTGTGTTACAAGTAAAATTAGAGCATGCTCTGCCACTTTCAATATTCTCATTTTGCTGTTATGTTTCTTGGAAACAGTGTGCGGTTCGTGCAGCCACAGAAGGCAGAACTCTCGTTTTGGAAGGTTTGGAAAAGGCGGAGCGGAATGTCCTGCCTGTTTTGAACAACTTGCTGGAAAATAGGGAGATGCAGCTTGAAGATGGACGTTTCCTGATGTCTGCCGAGCGTTACGACAAACTTCTCCAAGTAAGAAGAGAAATCTTGTGCTTTGCGTTTGCTGGTGAGCTGTGGGGAGTGCCATTTTGCCGTATAAGACATGGTTCTGTCAGAATGAGGACAAATGATCAGGCAACCTATCTTTAGCTACTGAAGTACAGTCAGCAATTGGCTGCTTACAGATCACATTAGAAGACCTTCCAGATTGTTACTGTCCTTTTTGGACAGTCTAATCATTATTCTTTCTTTCCTGCCATTCCTCATTTTCCTCCCTCCTTTCAGATCTCTTTTACTTCCTCTTCCTTCTTTTAACAACTAGTTATTAAAAGTCTGATGGCTGAAGACAGTGCTGGATGAGGGATACAAAGCTGAATAAAGTACAGTTCTTGCCCTCTGGTAGCATAATGGTTACGAGTTGGGCTGCTAACCTCAAAGTCAGCAGTTCGAAGCTAACAACTCTTCTGTAGGAGAAAGATGAGGCTTTCTGCTCCTGTAAAGCTTGACAGCCTCAGAAACCTTGTACCAGGTCACTATGAGTCGGAACCGAGTGCATAGCGCATAACCACCACCACCATTAGAATTTATGTTTCACAAGGGCACGAGTTATCTCTGGTGTTATCTCAGTCTCCTAGAATAACACCTAGTGTGTGGTGGTGTTGTTGTTAGGTGCCATCGAGTTGGTACCAACTCACAGTGACCCTGTGCACAACAGTACAAAACACTGTCCAATGCTGGGCCAACCTCACAATTGTTGCCACACTTGAGCCCATTGATGCTGCCACTTTCCCAGTCCATCTCGTTGGGGGTCTTCCTCTTTTTCTCTGACCCTTCACTCTACCAAACATGATATCCTTCTCCAGAGACTGGTCCCTCCCAACAATATGTCCGAAGTATGAGAGACGAACTGTGTGGTAGGTTCTCAATAACTATTTGTTGAGTGAATGAATAAGTACAATAAATTGTAATACAAGTTTGCATATAGAGGACAAGAATCTGGGAATGTGGGGCTCTTGAAACCTTTGGAGAAAGCATTCTTGTATTGTCGTAAATGAAAATAGAATATCACAGTCGACCCTCATTCATTCAACTTGAGCTAACCCCCACTGGAGCTGTCTCTAGCCAAGCTGCAATGAATGAATCCTCTGCCTCTAAATTCGAGGTCTGAGTTTCTCTCATATCTGTCCTGTAGCGAGATGTATGTGCTAATCTTAGTACCCTGAGTTAGTTGCAAATTGCTCAGGAGTAGAATCTATGTCTTACATTTCTTGATCCCCATCACAGTGTGCTGTCACAAGCTCAGAATACACTAGGCACTTAATGATAAATGTTCAAAGCAGATGGTCTGATTGAAAGGATGCTCCATGGTTGGGAGTGCTGGAAGCATCTCTTTATGATCTATTCTCTGTCACCCACCTGAACCTTCACAGCAGTCTGTGGAATTGTTGAAATGATGTGTTTATTGTACCATAAAGTCGTTTTCTTTGGAATCTATCTAAAGATTATGTCATTCTAATATAGCTAGAGTGGCTAATCAAGAATTCCACCAGTCGTTGGTCAGTTTGTTGTACTGTGGTGGCTTGTGTGTTACTGTGATGCTGGAACCAATGCAGCCAGTATTTGAAATACCAGCAGAGTCACCCATGGTAGACAGGTTTCAGCAGAGCTTCCAGACTAAGACAGACTAGGAAAAGATTGTTGTTGTTGTTTAGTGCCGTCGAGTCGGTTCCGACCCATAGAGACCCTGTACAGGGTTTCCGAGGGTGTAAATCCTTACGGGAGTAGAAAGCCTCATCTTTCTCCCGCGGAGTGGCTGGTAGTTTCGAACTGCTGACCTTAAGGTTCGCAGCCCGATTTGTAACCACTACGCTACCAGAGCTCCTTTAGCCACTGAAAATGTATGCATACTAGCAGAACATTGTCTGACAATAGTGTCAAAAGATGAGCCCCTCAGGTTGGAAGCCACTCAAAAAAAGCTGCCTCCTCAAAGTAAAGTTGACCTACTTTGGATAGAGCAAAGGTTTTGGGACCTTGATTGACTGACGAAGCAAAAATCAAAGTGAGAAGTAATAGAAACAGTGCAAATATCCATTAATCGGAAAGTAGAATGTACAAAGTATGAATATAGGAAAATCTGTTGCTATTGTTAGGTGCCATCGAGTCATTTCCAACTCATAGTGACCACCATCTTTGTAGTGATCAAGTGTTTATCCTACAGTGCAATGCCAGGACTCCATAGAAAAATAAGAAGTCATCATAAATGAAATGGAACACATAAAGATTGATATTCTAGGCATTAGTGAGCTGAAATGGACTGGTATTGGCCCTTTTGAATGAGACATTTCTATGGTTTACTATGCCGGGAATGACAAGTTGAAGAGAATGGCATTGTAGTCATCATCAAAAAGAGCATTTGAAGAGCTGTCTTAAAGTACCATGCTGTCTGTGATAGGATAGTATCCATACACTTACAAGGTAGACCAGATAATACCACTATTATTCAAATTTATGCATCGACCACTAAAGTCAGGGATGATAGAAATGAAGAATTCTACCAGCTTCTTCAGTTTGAAATTGATCAAACATGAAATCAAGATGCATTGGTAATTATCAATGATTGGAATGTGAAAATTAGAAACAAAGAGGAAGGACCATTAGCTGAAAAATATGGCTCTAGTGATAGAAACAATGGTGGAGATCACATGATAGGATTTTGCAAAACCAAGGACTTAGTCATTGCAAACACCTTTTTTTTCAGCAGCATATAAGGTGACCATATATGTGGACCTTACCATATAGAATCCACAGGAAGAGGTGATGGAGAAGTTCAATGGATAAGCTTAAAATCATCAGCCTAAACAAGGACAGGGGCTGACTTTGGAATAAACCATCAATTGCTCATATGCAAGTTCAGGCTGAAAGCCAAAACCAAACCCATTGCCAGATATTGAATGATGTAGAAAGCATCAAAAGGAGATGGAAGAGATACACAGAGACACTGTACCAAAAAGAACTGGTCAGTGTTCAAACATTTCAGCAGGTACCATATGATCAAGAACCAATGGTATTGAAGGAAGATGTTCAGGCTACATTGTGAAAAACAAGGCTACAGGAATTGACTGAATACCAGTTAAAATGTTGTAACAAATTGATGCAGCACTGGAGGCATTCACTCAGCTCTGATTGGGAAAGACCCATATTTGTGCTCATTCCAAAGAGAGGTGACCTAAAGGATTATAGAAAACATTGAACGATACCATATGCAAGTAAAATTTACTGAAGATAATTCAAAAGATGTGCAGGAGCACATTGACAGGGAGCTGCCAAATATGCAAGCCAGATTTAGGAGAGGACGTGGAACTAGGGATATCATTGTTGACATCAGATGGCTCTTGCCTTTGTTGTTGTTAGGTGCCGTTGAGTCGGAACCGACTCATAGCGACCCCATGCACAGCAGAACGAAACGATGTCCGATCATGGGCCAACCTCACTACCACTGCCACACTTGAGTCCATCAATGCCGCCACTTGGCCAATCCATCTCGTTGGGGGTCTTCCTCTATTTCTCCGACCCTCCATCTTACCAAGCATGATATCCTTCTCCAGCGACTGTTCCCTCCTGACAATATGTCCAAAGTATGAGAGACGAAGTTTGACCATCTTGGCCTCTAAGGAGCACTCTGGCTGCACTTCTTCCAAAACAGATCTATTGGTTCTTTTGGCAGCCCTTGGCACTTTTAGTATTCTCCTCTAACACCATAATTCAAAGGCATCAATTCTTCTACGATCTTCCTTATTCACTGTCCAGCTTTTGCATGCATATGGAGCTATTGAAAATACCATGGCGTGGGTCTGGCGCACCTTAGTCCTCAAGCTGACATCTTTGCTCTTCAACACTAAAAAGTTCCTGTGCAGCAGATTTGCCTAATGCAATAATACGTTGTTTGATCTCTTGACTGCTGCTTTCATGAATGTTGATAGTTGATCCAAGAAGAATGAAGTCCTTGACAACTTCAATCTTTTTTCCGTTGATAAGAATGTTGTTTATTGGTCCAGTGGTAAGGATTTTTGTTTTCTTGACATTGAGATGTAATCCATACCGAAGGCTGTGCTCTTTGATCTTCATCAGTAAATGTTTCAAGTCCTCTTCCCTTTCAGCAAACAAGGTTGTATCATCTGCATATTGCAGGTTGTTAGTGAGTCTTCCTCCAATCCTGATGCCATGTTTTTCTTCATAGAACCCAGCTTCTCGGATTATTTGCTCAGCATACAGGTTGAATAAGTATGGTGAAAGAATACAACGTTGTTGCACACCTTTCTTAATTTTAAAACATTCAGTGTTCCCATGTTCTGTTCGAACAACTGCCTCATGATCCAGGTACAGATTCCTCTTGAGTACAATTAAGTGTTCTGGAATACTCATACATTGCAGTGTTCTCCATAGCTTGTCATGATCCACGTAATCAAAAGCCTTTGTATAGTCAATAAAGCATAGGTAAACATTTTAGGCTCTTGCCTAAAAGCATATATTTCCAGAAGGATGTTTCTGTGTGCTCTATTGATCATACAAAGGTGTGTGTATGGATCATATCAAACTATGGATAACATTGCAATAAATGAATGTTCCAGACACTTAATTCTGCTCATGATGAAACCACATAGACCAAGAGACAGTTGCTCAACAGAACAAGGGATACTGAATGGATTAAAATCAGGAAAGGTATGCACCAGGGTTGTATTTTTACCAGATTTATTCCTTCTGTATGCTGAGCAAATAATCCCAGAAGGTGGATTATATGATGAAGAATGGAACATCAGCATTAGAGGAAGACTCATTAGCAACCTGTGATATGCAGATGACACAACCTTGCTTGTTGGAAGTGAAGAGGACTTGAAATACTTATTGATGAAGACTAAGAACTACAACTTTCAGTATGGATTGCATCTCAATGTAAAGAAAATGAAAATGCAACTGGACAAATAAATAACATCAATTAAAAGCATTAAATAATAAATGGAGGAAAGATTGAAGTTATCAAAGACTTGGATCCACAATCAATGTTCATGGAAGCACCAGTCAGGAAACCAAACTACCTATTTCATTAGGCAAAATTGCGTAGCCCTCTTTAAAGTGTTAAATAGTAAAGATGTTACTTTGAGGACGAAGGTATGCCTGGCCTAAGCAGTGGTATTTTTAATTGCCTCATATGATGTGAAAACTGGGCAATGAATAAGGAAGACGGTGAAGAAATGATGCTTTTGAATTGTGGTCTTGGTGAAGAGCATTGAAATACCATGGACTGCCAGAAAAACAGACAAATCTGTGTTAGAAGAAGGAAAGCCAGGATGCTCCTTAGAAGTGATCATAGGGAGACTTTGCTTCTTGTACTTTGGATATGTTGTCAGGAGGGATCAGTCCCTGCAGAAAGACATCGTGTTTGGATAAGTGGAAGGTCAGCGAAAAAGACGATCCCCAATGAAATGGATTGACAACAACAATGGGCTCAAACATAGCAACATGACAACAATGATGCAAGACCAGGTGGTATTTCATTTTGTTGTGCATGAAGTGACTATGAGTCGGAACTGACTCAAAGGCACATAACAACTATTAGGGTTTTTAATTAATTCATGCAGTTGTCTTATTATGTGCTAGAGTTAATAAGTCTGCTCAAGAAGTTGTATCAAGAATAAGGAGTCATGACTGATGCTCCATATTACTAACTAGGCCTAGATCCCCTTTGTTCAGCTGGCCAGTTGATTCATTTTTCAAAACACAGCCTTCATATTATGATCTCCCCATATTCTGATCCTGATTTCACTGTATACCCTTCCTTGACCATTTGGGGTGGCGAGTGTCCTCAAGTCCAGTTAACTTAACTGTCAGGGTTGAAGCTCCGTAGGCTGGAAGTTCTCACAGTGTAATCTGCATCATTTTAAATTTAATCTTGATGTCTTGCTCTTTTAGGATCATTCTAAAGCAGAGTTGGATGCTTGGAAGATTGTCCGGGTTAGTGAAAATTTTCGAGTGATTGCCTTGGGCTTGCCGGTACCTAGATACTCTGGGAATCCATTAGATCCCCCTCTCCGTTCTCGATTTCAAGCCAGAGATATTTATTACCTCCCTTTCAAGGTAAGTATGAAGAAGTAGCATTATTTTTTTAAAAAGAATTTTACTATTTATAACAGCAAATGAAGGTATTATAAAAATGTTACTATGTAAAAAGAGAACCCACGGACTTAGAAAAAATTTTTGGCAATGACGTATCAGACAATGGACTATTCTCTAAAATGTACAGAATGCTTCGATTCCTCAACAAGACGAAGACAAATAATCCAATTAAAAAATGGGCAGAGGGAAGACCTGGGGGGTACGGGGGGGGCAGGATTCCAGAGTATACCCTTTGGCTGGTTAATGATACATGGAGGGGATTGTAACCATGGCAATGAGATGATATATGACAGAATTAATGTAAAAATAATGTTCTCCCATGTAAACTATCACATAATTCACAATAAAACATTTAAGAAAAAAAAAAAAATGGGCAGAGGACATGAATAGACCACTGAAAAAGGCATTCAGGCAGCCAACAAACATGGGAAAAAATGCTCAGTAAGTGCTCTCTAAATGACACTGTTGTTGTTGTTAAGTGCTGTTGAGTCAGTTCTGATTCATAGTGACCCTGTAGAGGGTTTCCAAGGACCAGTTGGTGAGTTTTAACTGCTGACCTTTTGGGTCAAACTGACCTTGCAATCCAAACTGATCTTGAGGTCCAGTACGTTATCCTGCAGCACCACACCAGAACTTCCTAAATGCCGAGTAGTGGTGGTGGTTATGTGCCGTGGAGTCAGTGCTGACTCATAGAGATCCTGTTTAGGGTTTCTGAGGCTGTAAATCTTTATGGGAGCAGAAAGCTTCCTCTTTCTCCTGCAGAATGGCTGGTAGTTTCTAACTGCTAACCTTGCAATTGGCAGCCCAACTCATAACCATTATGCTACCAGAACTCCTTTTAAATGCCACTGTTGTTGTTGTTAAGTGCCGTCGAGTTGATTCCAACCCATAGAGAGATGCAAATCAAAACACCAATGAGATATCATATTACTCCAGAATTAATAGCAGAGTTAAAAAACAAAACAAAACAAAACAGAAAATGACAAATGCTGGTGAGGGTGTGGAGAGACTAAGACCCTCCTATACTGCTGGTGGGACTGTAAAATGGTGCAACCACTATGAAAAATGGTATGGTGCTTCCTCAGAAAGTTGGAAATAGAAATACCGTATGACCCAGAAATCCCTCTACTTGTTATATACCCTCAAGAAATAAGACCTATGAGATGACTAGATGTATACATACACCCATGTTAATTCACAATAGCTAAAAGATGGAATACGTCTAAATGACCATCAACAGAAGAATGGTTAAACAAATTTTGGTAGTTACATACAGTGAAATACTGCTCAATGATGAAGAATAACGATAAATCTACAAAACACTTCACAACATGGATGAACCTGGAGGACATTGTACTGAGTGAAATTGGTCAGTCACAAAAGGACAAATATTGTATGAGACCACTGTGGGAAAAAGTTAAGAAAAGATTTTCTTGCTAAATGAAACATTCTATGATGGTTAACCAGAATGGGTGGAGGGAATTATTCATGGGCAGGGGGTAGAATATTTAACTGGTGATGGTGCGGGCAGTACAACAAGGAGTTTAGCAGAGGAAAGATGAAGGTAGCAGGAGACAGCAGGAGAAACATTGAATAATGAAGACCGTAGAAGAATTGATGTTTTTGAGTTACGGTGTTGGTGGAGAATATTAAAAGTGCCATGGGCTGCTAAAAGCACCAACAGATCTGTGTTGGAAGAAGTGCAGCCAGAGTGCTCCTTAGAGGCCAGGATGGCCAAACTTCGTCTCTCATACTTAGGACATATTGTCAGGAGGGACCAGTCGCTGAAGAAGGATATCATGTTTGGTAAGATAGAGGGTCAGAGAAAAAGAGGAAGACCCCCAATGAGATGGATTGGCCAGGTGGCAGCATCGATGGACTCAAGTGTGGTAACAGTAGTGAGGTTGGCCCAGGATCGGACACTGTTCCGTTCTGCTGTGCATAAGGTCCCTATGAGTTGGTACCGACTTGGTGGCACCTAACAACAATGAAGCAAACTATGCAATTTGTTGAATGGAAAACTGATGATCTGCTTTGTAAACTTTCTCTCAATTCACAATAAAGAGTTTTAAAAAAAGTTGTTATATTTAAAAATTTCCCCCTTAATAGTTATTGGAAAGAAAAAAAAAATAGCAAAGTAAAGAAAATCTTTGGACAATAGGAAGAAAAATTATTGTAGAATTTTAGTCTGCAATATTTGGGGAAAAAAGCTGACTTTTCTTTTAGAAAATGATTTTTATCAAGAAATTTTTTTGGGGGTATTAGTTAATATTATTATTGTTAGGTGCAGTCAAGTCATTATTGACCCATATTGATCCCATGTACAGCATCTTGGTGTGGCGCTGTAGGATAAGCACTGGACTGCTAACTGCAAGGTTAATGGTTCAAATCCACTAACCACTCCTTGGAAACTCTATGCAGGGCCATTATGAGTCAGAACTGACCTGATCATAATAATAACCACAGCATAATGAAACCCTGCTTGCTCCTGCACTATCCTATAGCTGCTATATGAGCCCATTGTTGTAGCCACTATGTCTGCTTCATTAAAAGTTATTGCTTATGGTTTCATAGCATCTTTTACCTTCCTAGTAATTGATTTGATATGTTTCTATTATTTTAGGACCAACTTAAGCTGCTATATTCAGTTGGAGCCAGAGTTCCTGCTGAGAAGTAAGTATATCAGCTATATTTATGATAAATATCTCGACACTTAAGACATTTAATTTGTTTTGCCCATTCATTCATTCAGCAACTATTCATTGAAGAATTACTCAGTGTTAGGATCTGTCATTAAGTCCTGGTGATTAGACTAACAAGACATGATTTTTCATAGTAAGAAACTCAAGATTTAGTAGAGTTGAAAGATATATGAACATCTTAGTTCAATACAATGTAGTAAGTCCCATCATTTCAAAGTATTGGTTGAGATTTTATATGGGCTTCACAAAGGCATTAGAATTTGAGGTGAACCCTGGTGAATAAGGATTTTAGAGTAGAATTAAGACATTCTAAAACCTTTTTAAAAAGCTCTAGGGCGTGAGAATGTATATAGTTTATGCCTGGGCCAATAAACTGATGGCTTAAGTTTATGTTTAGGGATTGAGAGAACTGGGAGATGAGGCTGACAGTGTACATTTTGGCCAAGTTGTGAATAACTTCACATGTTTTGATAGACTTATAAAATATACCCATATATCTAATGAGCTTCTACAATAAAAAGTGGCTTATTATGATGTAGAACCATTGTTCCTTAAGCTTTTAATAATAGGTGTCATCCTTTTAGATTAATATTTAATAAATTTATATATTTTAAAGCTATTAAATAGAAAGGCAAGGGACCCTGAATAGCTAAAGCAATCTTAAAGAAGCATGAAGTAGGACTCAAACTTTCGTATTTCAAAATATACTATAAAGCTACAGTAATCAAAACAATCTGGTTTTGATTTATAATAGACATGTGGAATAGAATTGAGAGTCAAGAAATAGATTCAGACATCTGTGGTCAGCTGAATTTTAACAAGGATGCTAGGTCTATTCTATGGGGAAAGAAGACTCATTTCAGCAAATGGTGCTGGGAAAATTGGATTTCCACATGCAGGAGAATTCATCAGGAACCATATTTCACACCATACACAAAAAAACAGCTCACAGATGGATCAAGGCCGAAAATGTAAAAGCTAAAACTATGAAACTAAAAAAGAAAAGTTAGGGGCAACTCTGTGGGAGCTAATTCTTTTTTTTTAAAAGAAGTTTTTTATTGTGAATTGAGTTAAAGTTTATAGGACAGATTATCAGTTTTACATTCCATAAATCATATTTTGCTTCATTGCAACGATTACATGCCCTCCATGTACCATCAGTCAACAGTATTTACCTCAGTCCCCCCCCCCCTTTTTTTTTAAGGTTTTTATTGTGGATTGAGTGAAACTTTACAGGGCAGATCATCAGTCTTACAGTCTACAAATTATATACCTTGTTTCATTACAATGATGATAATCCCCTCCATGTACCATCAGTTAGCAGTATTTCTCACTATTCACTTTAGCTTTTTAAAAAACAAAACAACAACAAAAAAACACCACTCAGGCATATATAATAATTTACACCTCCAAAGGGCACATTCTGCAAGTCTGTCTCCTGGCCACCAGCTCTTAATCCCTCTTTTCCCATGAATCTAGAGTCCTTTGTCCCTCTCTTCCCATGAGTCTAGAGTCCTTAGCCACTTCCCCTCTCCATGTCCCCATCTCTGCCTCCGTCTCAGGTGTCACTGCTTCTCTGGATAAGGTCCTGTATTCTGCTTCTGCTCTTCTCCCTTGGTGGTCCTAGGGTCATCTATTTCTGGACTGTAAGATTAACCATTCCCCTGTTTTTATTACAAAACTTCTACCTTTACAATTGTGACAGTCGTAATTAGTCATGATAACAATTACTCACTATTGACTCAGAAGAATTTTATCCCCATCTCTTTTCACCAGACCCATCTAGACAAGATGAAAACTTTTCAGTGGGAAGTCTTTCTTCCCCCAAACACTCTTAAACTAAACTCCATCATGAAACCTTGTAA